AAGTAAGGGACCTCTTTTGGTAGAACCCACTTAATGTTGAAGAGAGAGAGAATCCTCCCCCAAACCTCAAAGGCAAAAGGGCAGAACAAGAAAAGATGAGAATTGTACTCCTTGTCGTTAAGGCACAGGGAGGATCGGTTTGGAAGAGAGAGACCTCTCCTTTGTAGATGATCTACCGTGAGCACTTTAGAGGAGAGCGCGATCCACATGAACAACTTTAATCTTGGAGGTGTGATAGAGTTCCAAGCTTGGGCCACTATTGAGGAGGGGTTAAAAGGAAAGGTTGGTGGTTGGGTGATAAAAGTATAGGAGGATACTGTGAAGTCCCCTGAGGTGGCTGGAGTCCAAATAATTCTGTAGTGCCCTTGTTGAGTGATGAAACAAGAGGAGAGGGAGCTGAGTACGTTGGAAACAAGATTATTTCAGAATCTATAAGATTCCTCCTGAATAGAGGATTCCGAGTTCTAGAGGGCCCCTCCATTCTCATCTCGTCTACCACAAAGGCCCCTTGATGTTTGTGCCAGGGAAAAAAGTTATGGAAATTGATCTTTAAGAGTTTGCTGGCTAAACCACGGGTCTGACCAGAATCAAATCCTATTTCCCTCTCTAGGTTGAAACCTGATCCCTTTGGGGAACATGTAGAAGGTAGAGGTGATGGATTTCCATAGCCTCGAGGCCCTAAGGTGCCCACCTAGCCTACTCCGGTAGCCAGGGAGTAGAGGGAATTCATTATTTAAACCTCCAAATGTCTACCCACAGCTGTTCCCTTAAGGTTAGGAGTTGCCACTACCATTTACCTAGTAGGGCGACATTCTACTACCTAATGTTTCGGAATTCCAGTCCTCCCAGTCTTTTCGGTTGGCACAGTTTATCCTAGGTAATCAAATGGACTTTATGGGTGGTGGCATCCCCTGACCAAAAGAATCTTCGAATAAGCTTTTCTATCCTCTCAACTGCCGCCATAGGCATGCGAAAGGGGGACATTTGATAGACCGGGATGTTGGCTAAGGTGGCTTTGATGAGAGTAAGCCTTCCTGCTGGGGAGAGAAACCTTCCCTTCCAACCTACGAATTTTCAATCTACTTTATCGAGGACATTCGACCATAACCTCTTTTTCAGTTGACCTATGCACAAAGGTGGGCCTAGGTAATTGGAAGGCAGTTCTTCAGCCTTGCAACCCCAAAGGTTTGCGAAAGCTTTGACCTCTTCAGATCTGACCGAGATCCCTTTCATTTTGGTCTTCTTAAAGTTCACCTTAAATCCAGTTGCGAATTTGAAGCACCTAAGGAACCAGAAAAGGTAGTCTAGTTCCTCTGGTAAGGCGTTGCAAAAGACCAAAGTGTCGTCTGCATACTAGAGATGGGAGACAACCAGACCATTGGTGGTGCCGCATGCGAACCCATTTATCAGGCCCTTTGTGAACATCCTGGAGATAGATTGACTAAACACTTCAGCAACTATGGCAAAGAGAAAGGGGGATAGAGGATCCCCTTGACGTAAACCAATAAAGGAGGGGAAAAACTTTAAGGGACCCGTTGATGAGGATTGAGAAGTAAGGTTGGCTATAGCAAGCTCTCATCCAGCCTCTCCATCTACTTCCAAACCCCATCCTTAATTGGATCTCTTCGAGAAAGGCCCAATCCACATGGTCATATACTTTTTACCAATCCAATTTAACTATCAGACCTGGGATTTTGGCAATATGTCGAGAGTGGACACATTCGTGGGCTACCAGGGCGCCGTCTAAAATTTGGCGGTCTTTGATGAACGTGCTTTGTGAGGGGGATATCACCAGGGAAAGAACTTCCTTCAGGCGAGAAGCTAGCACCTTTGCTATGATTTTGTAGGTCGAATTGACCAAGCTAATGGGACATAAGTCCTTCAAGCATTCAGCTCCTTCAATCTTTGGATCTAATACTATGAAGGTTGCGTTCATTGCTCGGTGAATGACCCCTCTTGAATGAAATTCAGCGAAAAGTGCTAAGAAGTCTCCTCGAAAAGAATCCCATAGCTCTTTGAAAGGGGCTATGGAATATCCATCTGTACCCGACGATCTATCTGCTGCCAGACTAGAGATAACAGCTAGAATTGCTTCTTCCGAGAAAGGTCTCTCCAACCAGGTAGCTTTTTCGGGGGGAAGTTGACGGAACTGGATGCCCCCCACGCTGTCTCGGTCCTGAGGGAGCAGAGAAGAGATTCTGGAAAAAAGCTATAATGGTTTCCTTGATTTCAGTAGGTTGGTTTAGGAATCTATCCCCTACCCTAGATGCAAGATTGTATTATCCCTTCTCCTATAGGTGTCTGTCTTGTGGAAAAACTCTGTGTTGAGATCACCGGCCTTAAGCCATTTTACTCAGGATCTTTGTGACCAATAGATCTCCTCTTTCTTGAGGATCGATTGATAGAGAACTTTCAAGGGAGTTCTCCAAAGAGACTCAGATGGGAGAAGGATTATAGATTCCTCCTCCACATCTAGATGTTTAATTTCCTCAAGGGTTTCGTTCTTTTGCAACGCGAAAGATCCTATTAAGGTTCTGCTCCAAGTCCTCAATTGGGCTTTAAAAGTCGTAGTTTTCATTGCAGTCTGAAACCTGCCCATCTGAAAACTGATAGCGAGAGTGACGACCACCAAGCTGGTAATAGAGAGGTCAGGGAGCTTTCTTAAAGCCAAGTGAGTTTGAATCTAAAAGGTTTGGGGGCCCGCGAGAAAGGTTCAGTGTTTATGAGTAAGGGGCAGTGGTCCGAAGTGGGTTTAGGCAAGGCTACATTGGAGCCAACAAAGGCAACGTCCTAGTATAAGGGCATCAATAAGTGGTCTTTAGTTTGAGAGGGAGGGGGAGGAAGAGTGGTTGGACCAAGTGAATTGTGCTCCTTGGATCGAAAGATCAAGGAGCTGATTGTTAGAGATAAAGTGAGAAAACAGGTTCATAGCAAGAGGAATTCTAGAGGAGAAATTTCTCTCGAAAGACCATTTGGTAACGTTGAAGTCCCCCCAATACACCAAGTCGAATTGGGGAGGTCTGCAGTGGAGTTGAGTTCGTTCCAAAGCTGGGCCCTAAGGCATCTTGGTTGGGGCCATAGACGCTCGAGAAGTTCCATTGGAAGCCGTCGGATACCCTGGATAGGAGCACAATAACAGAATCGGACGCTAAGACCGAGGAGGAAATAGAATGTTCAGAAGGGTCCCAAATCACCCATATTCCTCCTGAGGCCTCTACTGTAGTGAGAGCCTCCCACTGACAAGGCCTTCTACCCCATACCTGTCTAACCTGTTGGAGAGTTGGGGAGGGAAGTTTAGTTTTAGTGAGGACAACTATAGCAAGGTGGTGTTCAATGTTAAAAAAAACGGACAGTCCAGCGCCCAAAAAACATTTTCCGCACACTTGGACCTAGGCACCCCAAGTTTGTATAAAATAAAATTAGGGGTTTATTTTCAACCCCAAACTGAAAAAAAAACAAGAAACCCTCAATCTTAAACTTATTTGTGAGAATTTAAAGCAATTGCTGAGAATAAAAAATACTTCTTATGGATTGAAAAAGTTTGTTTTTCTAATTGAAATTATTTTTAAGGTGCTATTGGTGGTATTAGAAGACTTTTAAGTGGATTCGTAGCTCGACTGAGATAGCCAACATCGAATATCAGAGATTGGGTAGAAAAAGTAAGTCTGTAATCTTTATTTGAGATTTATTTTTTCAATTTGAGATGTCTTCTGCGGGGTCTACTAGGGGTGGAGATCTGGGATGGAAATATTGTCTTGACTCGGATAAGAATGACCGAAATAGAGTTATGTACAATTTTTGTGGACATGTTTCTAATGCCTGCATAAATAGATTTAAGAAACATCTTGCCGGTATTAGAGGTGATGTCGCCCCATGTAAGAAAGTCCTAGATCTTGTAAAGAAAGAAATTTTGGAGTACATCGAAGCTGAAAGAGTAAAAAAGTTGCAAAAAAAAAGGATATAGCAGAATTAAAGTCAAGGGTTTATATTTTTGATGATAATACTGAAACTGAAGAAGAGGATGATGAAAAGGGCGAAGAAGAGGTAGCCATAGTTGGTACTCAAAGCTCTAAGACTAATAGGGCTTTTGGGTCTAAGAAGGCTCGTACGAGAGGGCCCATAGATAGTTTCTTTACACCTAGCCCTGAAACAGTAATTGAAAAAGGCAAGGGACAGGGGAAAAAACGGGTGACAATTGAAAATAGGCTTAAAAAGGAAGATAGAGCCAAGGTGATTCAGTATATTACTCGGTGGTTTTACCATGCGTGCATTTCTTTTAACACTGCTAGTTTGAAAGCTTCCATACAATGTTGGAAGCAATTGGACAATTTGGGCCAGGTTTGAAAGCTCCAACTCCTTATGAGATTGGAGAGCCACTACTGAATAAAGAAGTTGAGTACACTAATGAATATTTCAAGACTCATAAGGAGGAATGGGCTAAATTTGGGATTTCTTTGATGACAAATATGTGGCGTGATAGGAGGAGGAGAAGTAACATGAATTTATTAGTAAATTGTCCCACGGGTACAGTTTTTTGTGCTCAATCGATGCTTCCAATGATGTTCATGATGCGCATTATATATTTTCTTTCATTGATAAGGGTATTGAGGAGGTTGGGGAGGAACATGTAATTGAAGTGGTCACAGATAATGCTGCTCCCAATCTAGCTGCAGGTCATTTGCTTCGACAAAAGAGGCCTCACATATTTTGGACTCCTTGCGCTCCACATTGCGTAGATTTTATGCTTGAGGCAATTGGTGAATTGCCTCCTATTAAAGGAATTATTTTTAAGGCTAAGGAGATTACAATCTTCATATATAGTCACATACTTATCCTTAGCATGATACGCAAGTTTACAAAAAAGAGAGAGCTAGTGAGGCATTGGGTACTTAGATTTGCCACTGCCTACCTTAGTCTACAGAGCATGTATAAGAGGAGGACTATGTTTGCTTCAGAGGAGTGGAGTAGGTGTAAATGGTCTAGAGATGTCAAGGGAAAGTAGATACGAGATATTATTCTTTCAAAATATTTTTGGTGTGGGGTGAAACATGCGATATTAGTATTTCTTCCCTTGGTGAAGGTCTTGCGATTGGTTGATGTTGATAAGCCCTCCATGGGCTTTATATATGATACAACGGAAAGGGCTAAGAATGAGATTTTAGAGAATTTGGGCGATGATGCAGCGAAGTATGCCCCAATTTGGGAGATTATAGATGATAAATGGGATAGGCAGCTCCATAGACCATTGCATGCGGCAGGGTACTACTTGAACCCCAAAATCTTTTATGCAGATGCAGATATTGAGTCCAAAGGGGTAATTATGGATGGTTTTAATGAGTGCCTTGAGAAATTAGTTCCTGATCCAAATATACAAGATAAGATATCAATTGAAGAGCTAATTTTGTACAAGTGTTCTTTGATGTCATTTGGGAAAGATATGGCATTAAGGCAGAGAAACGAAGAGGAATCAGGTAATATTCTTTTGACTTATGTACTTTTGTTTTATAAAATATAAATTTATAATTTTCTTTCAAGTTCTGTAATTATAAAGGTTGCCCACATATTGTAGCCCAATGGTGGAGACAACATGGGAGTAGCGCTCCAAACCTTCAGAAGATGGCTATGCGGATCTTGAGTTTGATAACTGCCTCTTCTGGTTGTGAGCGCAATTGGAGTTCGTTTGAGATGGTATTTTACTATTTTAAAGGAATAAAATTTTATATGCTTTTTCTGTTTACAAGTTCATATTCATTTTGTAATATAGATTCATAAAAGGTAAGAAGATCACAGACCTATAGTAGTTACTTATGCATTATTTTTCCTTATAGGTGCATACAAAGAGAAGAAATAGGCTTGAGCAAAGGAAGCCCAATGACTTGATTTTTGTTAGAGAGAATCAAAGGCTCAAGGAGAAGAAAAGCTAGCCAAAGAAGGACCCTATCTCTTCGAAAGACATGGATAATGCTTCAGATTAGCTAGTTAGTGACCCTGGTGTTGAGGAGGTCTTCCCTGGGGAGGGTTTGACATGGGAAATGGTCGAGGAGGCTTCAGGGCAAGCTTTTGATCCTAGGAGGGCCACTCGAGCAACTTCTTCTGCTAGTACTTCACGGAGGTAGATAGAGGAAGAGGAGGCAGATTCAGAAGAATCTCTAGAAGAAGAGGAATATGTTGAAGAGGGCAATGATTTTGATGATGACGGCTTCAATTTTGATGCAAATGAAGCAACGAAGATGATGATTCTGATTCTTATTGATGTCTTCATTGTCTTTTCTCTTCTTTTGAAGTAACTTTAATACTTTATTGCACCATCTTGGTTTGGGCTTTCAACATTTGGAGTTTGAATGATTTTTATTTGGTTATGTGGTTTGTAATTTTTTTGTCTTTTTGGACTATTTTGTTGTGTGGTTTATTGGTTTTTCTATAGTTTTGGAAGTTAGTTTGTTGATGACTTGGAGAGTTGGAGACTTGGAATCTTGGATATTATTATGGTTTATTTTATGGATATGGAATATGCCAATATGGAGAATTTTTGAATTTGAGAGTTGGAGACCTTACAGTGGCCTATTAGACTTTTAAATGTTTTGTATGGTTCAAATTTCGGAATAAATTACAAATTTTGACACATATATATGTATATATGTGCATTTGGATAACAAATATATAAAAAAAAAAACTAAGAATTTGCACCGCAGGGTGCCCAAGGTTCTGAGCACCCGCCTAAGCGCTAGGCGCCAGGCAGGCCCCCTAGCGTTTTTTGAAACCTAGGTGGTGTTTTATACAAAGATCTCTAACATATTGCTTTTTGAAGGGAATCCTAATCCTCGAATATTCTAAGATAAGATCAGCATTGGGGGTCTACAGTGAGGCAATTTTCTTAGGGAACGTCGGACCACCGAGCCACTGAGAGAATGCGCCAGTGGTAGATTAGAGAAGGATAGCGGAAGAGGGAGAGGTCGATCATAATTGATACTCGAGGCTAGGTTAGTGAGTTCCTGGCTTTCCTTAGATCTAGATTGGATGTCCACCTTGAAGAATTCTTGAAAAGGGCCCTCGGGGCCAGTATGGGGGAAGCCCATCACCTACATGACGGAGTGAATCTTCCCTTGTGCTTTGTCCATTCGATTGATATAAGAGGAAGTTACCAAGATAAGGGAGTGATAATCTTCAGAAGAGCCCTCTGAGGATCTGAAGGTAGTGTTTTGCGAGCTTCTCCTCGTCCCCAAGAGAGAAGGGGAAGACGGTGAGTACGAGGAAGCAGTGTTTCAAAAAGCGCTAGGCGGGTCTTAGACGGCCTGGGGGGTCCAGGCCGCCCAACACGTAGGAGGGCGCTCAGAACCTGGGCGGTTGCCAATTGAAATTTGAAAAAAAGTAAAAACCATACTAAATTACCAATATAATGCCATATTCCAAGCTGAAAAAAAAAAAGGTAAGCGTTGAGAAGAGAATTTTGATAATCCAAATTGTTAAAACAGTAAACTGTAAAACCATACAACTGTAGGTAGGATATAAAAGTCAACACTCAACACAACAGAACAGAAATTTAGAAAATATACAGTATAACAAAAGTCAACACTCATGACTCAACACAACAGTCAACAGACTCAACACTCAGCACCAAGAGGCAAGAGTCTTCAGTCGTCGTCATCATCATCGTCAAAAGGAATATCAATAGGGCAAGCCTCATTATATGCATTAGAGTCGAGGCCCTCATCATCAGAATCATCTCCCTCTTCAATATAACGCTCGTCCTTCTCTGTTTCTTCTGAATCTGCCTCTTCCTCCTCCTCTTCTTCTATCTTCCTCTTACTAGTCTGTGCAGATGAGGCCCTAGGAGTCTTGGCTGCTCTACTATTTTCTTTGTGCTTCTCTGAACTCAAATATTGTATAATTTCCTCCTTGATAGCCTCAAGAACATTTTTACAAGGGACGACATCCCCCTTAATATCGGCAAGGTGTTTTTTAAACCGGTAAATGCCTCCATTAGTATCCTTTCTACAATAATTACATTTAATACGTTTTTTATCACTTGGATTCGAGTTATAACCATACTTTCAACCCGGATCACCAATCCGTCTAGAACCTGGAGAAGATACTTTCATAGAACAAGGCTATTTTCATCCTTTTCTGGTTCTTCAAAATTCAGAATATCATCCCGAACTGGTTCAGGAACCTTTGTACAAGAAGCAACATTACCTCTAACACCAGCAAGGTGTTTTTTGAATCGGCTAATACCCCCATTGGTATCTTTTTCACAAAAATTACACCTTATACAATTTTTATCATTTGGTTTTGGGTTCTACCCATAATTCCAACCTGGATCACTTTTTCTAGGAGTAGCAGAAATAGATCTATGACAAGGATTTTGTTCTTGTTTTTCTTTTATATAACTTATAAATTGCTTAATCTCCTCTCTGATAGCTTCAGGAACATTTTTACAAAGGGCAACATCCCCCTTAATACTGACAAGATGTTTCTTAAATCAGTTTATGCCTCCTTTTGTATATCTTTTACAAAAAATGCATCCAACGCAATTTTTGTCATTTGGATTCGTGTTGTATCCATATTTCCAACCCGAATCTCCACTCCGACTAACTCCTGAAGAAGACATCTCAAAATAAAACAAGCAATCTAAAAAATGCACTTATTTTGGTTGCTCGAACCCCAAACTTTGATAAACACTTTGATGATTCGATCCAATGAAATGTAGTTTTTTGGAGGTTTCTTTCTCTCTAAAAGGGTTTCTTGTGGGTTTAGGTTTCAAATGAACCTAAAACCCATCTTTCTAAACTTTTATATCTTGAAAAAAACGAAAAAAAGAAAACAAAAACACTTTTCCACCTCTTGGCCCGGTGCAAGCCCTAGGCGCCCGCCCAGGGCTGGGCTCTGGGCGGCCTCCTAGGCGGGTTCAGTACCGCCTAAGGACCACCGCCCACTTTGGCCTCCTAAGCCTGGGTGATGCGCCCAGGCCTTCTGGGCAGCCTAGGCGCTGGGCGGTCCGTTTGTTTGAACAATGGGAGGAAGCTTTCTTGATGCTTATAAAAGCCAGGCCATCCTCGGGAGTAGGGCGGAAGATCGCCACCGTTGAATCGAAGAGCTGGTCGTTTTAAGGGTTAGGGTTCAGGTCTTCAAAGTTGTCATAGAATCCCAATGGGTCTTCCAGTTGTTGAACTACAGGGGGGGAATCAAGGAAGAGGAAGACCGGAAGAAGTTAGGAATAGCGAAGGGTTAAGGCTCAAGAAGAGAGAAGACTCTCTGGAATCAACGGGAGGAAGAGAAGAGACAGGGATGGGGGCTGGGATCATCGCTAGAGGAGGATGAATCTCCTCTATGATGTGGTATAGAATTTGGGGTGTTCTTATAGCGAAACCAAAATGAGAATACAACTCAAAATTTTCAATAAGCGGTCTTGCTTAAACAAGCAAGATAAACAGTTACAGCCACTCAAATCAAAAGTAAGAACACTTTAAGATATGAATACCACTTACAAATGACTCTATAACAGTCCTCTTATAGGGCACAATACATATCTTTGCCCACAAAACAAAACTATGTCACAAAGTATGACATTTTTACAAGAAATGAGCTCTTACATAACCAAATCACATAACATAAACACTTGAAACAAAATTTACAGAACTTTTCTAGACTATGTAACAGGGAGTTGAGTGCTAATATAAGATGGGGAAGCCATTGGATTCGAGCCCTTATGCCCCGGTCACAATCGGACCTTTTGAGGACTTAGTATTGTCCCAAAGATGAGTGCAAGAGTGGTTTTATGATCACAAAGTGATCAATTCAAATGGGAAGCTTGAAACACTTTTAAAATAACAAATAAGGAGAGAGATTAAAATGATGGATATCAGTTTGCAAAAAAGAATGAGAGAGATCGTACTCAAAACGAGTCAAATATGAGCAAACTACTCCATATTTTGTCCATCGGTCCACCAAAGTTTTTCTCAATGTAAAAAGAGGAACTCTAACTCAACAAATGGAATTTTAAAAAGGGTATTAATTCTCTGAACTTGAATATTAATAAAGATGTACTCAAAAAAATTTGGATGGAAAAGATCTATGAGAAACTAGACATGATTTATAAAACAATCATGGTATTGAACTCATGATCAAGGTTAAGGGACACACCATATATCTCTAACTTAAAGATCTTTCAAAACTAATGAAGAAGGGAACTTAAACTTCTGTAAACATGAATTTACAGCAAGTTTAGATCATGAGGAAATGAAGCAATGAAAGAAAGACACACAAAAACATGATACCTTGATGATGACATATGATGGACTTGACCTTGTGGAAGGAAGGGGCTCCATTAAAGGTCATCTTCTAACCAAAAACATGAAGCCAAAGGGGCTGAACGTCGAGGCCTGGTTTTGATATCTTTTCTTTCTCTTTGATTCAAGAAAAATGTTTTCTTCGGCTTTGAATTTGGGCCTTAAGTGTATTGATATGAAGTATATAAGTTATGAATTGATCATGACCCTTGATGCATTTCATCAATGGCACATGAGAGGCTAATTATCTTAGCCATTCATCTCCATCCAACCACTAGGATGAAGGGATGAGATTTAAGCACTTTATTACCTCATAAACCTTAAATCGAAGCCACATTACCCTTTTGTCTTTGTCCCCATATATTAATTCCAATCAAATCCAAAAGGGCTTTACATAAAGACCCTTGAGTTTTTAATAAATCTAAGTGTAGAGAATGCTCAAGGGTAAGGACATTTTGGTAAAAGGTGTCAATCACATGGGTGGGTTATGACACCACCAATAGAATTAACTCAACCCACACCCTTCACATACACCTTACACAATTCACATGGGTCACACCAATGGGGCACATCCACATGGAATGTTCACATGGCATGTGTCCCCATGTGGATAACAATATTTTAAAACATTATTTTATTTGAATAAGTGCTTTGGCTCTACACAAGCCAAGCATGTCACATGTGTGACATTTAAACATGTGACAAAAATCCAACATTAAGTTATAACCATAAATAACAATATAACATAAGGTTTGAAATAAATAATAAGTGACCATGTGCCATAGGGTCTCCCATGCATGGGAATTGTGCCCAAACAAGGGGGGCCCAACTTGAGGGATCAATGGTGCCACATGGCCACCCTATGACCACTCAGGTACCACGTGACATCCACATAGACGCCCTTACATGAGCCCAAATAATTTTGAAAATCACATTTTTGGTGATTTAAAAAGTCCAAAAAATTCTAATAAATATTTAAATCATATTTAAACATCATTTCTCATTAAAACAAAAAGGTATGTTAGATCTTGAGGCTTTGATTCTAGGTATTGAAGTACTCCATTTGGCTAGTCCCGAATGATGTTTTGTCGTGCCTCAAGTTGACCTAATACACCTATGCTACACAGTTTATGGCAGGGATACATAATTGGACATATCAAGGTCATTGAGGTAGAGCTTCCCATCATCGGGATCTCAATGGATTACAGGCCCACCTTTTTGGGACATATTCCTACTTAAATACAGGGTCCTCTCAAAGCACATGTGCGCTGCCTCTTCTAAGTCGGATAAAACCTAAGAAGAGTGGCTTCCCTTGTGGGTGAAAGTGCACATGCCATGGAATGGTTTCGTGTCAGGCTATGGACTCATATCCCATGAGTCTTGACCATTCCATACAGGGCCAATTCTCAATAAATACTCGGGCTCTATACTACTCGATTGGATTATCCAAGCGCTGGCTTATCACAATTAATAAAATGATTTATCAAAACATAAACTCTCAGTGCCTCATGCACTCGGGGTAAGAGAATCTGGGCCCCAGTTCGCAAAGTACCCAGATTCTATCTCTCTCACTCACTCCCACTAAACGAAAGACTGTTGGCATTAAGGCCTTCAAAGACCATCTTGCCAACACTCTAATGGGGTATAATCCGGGGGAATGAGCGAGGGAGCAATAGGGGAAGGGAAAGATACACAGAGGCTAGAAACCCCATCAAAGGAGAGAACCGGGGGAGGAGAGTCTGTGGGAACAGAGACAATAAGTGGATCCTCGCTGTAAGGGTTGAGGGGAATACGTAGAATGCCTTTCAGCGCTGGATCTGGATTGCCTGAAGACTGGGTCTGGACGATAAAGGTCAAGTGCTAGAGGCGGAGGAGAAACTTCCCCTAATGAGGAGGGGGGATCCTCAGAGAGATGAGGCCGAGGGCAAGGTGAGAGAGGGTCAGAGTCGAAAGGGGCAAGGAGTAGAGAAAGAAGAGAGGAGGGCAGGGGAGTAGGAAGAGGCAGAGAGGCAAAGGTGGGGGAAGGGAATGGGAGGTCTACCAGGGGAGGGGAAGAAGCAGAGGTCACAGGCTTTGGCAGAGACTAAAAGACCTGGTTGTCTGAAGGCGGCATGTCTGTAAGCCAGAGAAAGCGTCAAAAGAAATGATGGGAAGAGGGGAGGGAAATGACGATCGCTTGACTGATGGAGAAATCCCTGAGAGGGATTTAGGGGTATCTAAAGGCAGCGCATGGGGGCCAAGAATGGAAGATCTAACAAGAGGTTGAAGGCTGGGAAGGGAAGGCTTGCCGGTTGGCAGCGAAGAAGGTAGACAATCAGAAGATTGAGAAACCTCGGGGAGAGGATTAGGCGGCCCTGTGTCAGGGGGCTCGTCGGCAGCAAGAGAAAAGGAGGGGCCAACGTCAGGAGGCTCTGCTTCAGAAAGAGGCAAACGACGGCCAGCGTCAGGAGGTTCTGCAACAGGGACACTTGGAGGCAGGCATGCGATGACAGAAGGCAGCTGGGTAGGTGTACAGGACACTTGAGGTTCATCAGCAAGGGAGTGAAGACTAGGTTCTTCAAGAGGGCCGCATGTGTCCAACGGACAAGTCTCCACGTTTGAGGTACCGTGGGTTTCGTTCTTTCCTCGATTAGGTCGACAGTGATGGAATTGGGGTCGTCTAGATTGATGGGCATGCTTTCTCCTTGAAGCCACCACCATCCACTGGGGTTCACTCTCCGAGAGTGGGAGCGACTGGTTCAGAAGTCTGGGCTCCCTGTTATGCTTCGTTCCAGAGACAGAGACGAAGCGAGGGAGGGAGGAGAGGCTGAGGACCATTCCAAAAACACTTGATAATACCTTCCTCCTACCTCCAACCAGAGAAAGGGGGAATTGACTTGGGGTCCAGAACGTCGATGTTCTCTCAGTAAATGCTCCAGAGAACACCAATGAACAGCCACCAAGGTCCCGCAGGCGTTGCCAGTGGCTTTGAAAGTCGAGAGACTCCAGGAGTGAAGAGGGATGGCCGAAGCTGTGAGCCAAATCTTCTGTACTCGATAGGCTCCCCAATCTTCTGACCATCTTGAGAGCGCTAAGGAGGCTCCCCGAAAGTTTGGATTTGCAGAGTTGAGGGCTTTTTGAATGCCAGCAACTGAAGAGAAAGAGGAGGGTGGAGCCATCCGAAAGTGTTTTGCAAAGCAGTGAAGGCTCAGCCCAAACAGCTTTGCCCCATTTCTCGATTCAACGGGAGTCATCTCGTCGAGGTGTCAACACCCTGACCAGGGAAGCACGGTACTTGTCTGCGAGTTGAGATGAAGACTCTTGAGCCATCGAGATAAGTTTCGGGGCAGAGGAGAGGGGAGGGAAGGGGATGTCGGAGTGGTCTGCCATTCTTTGGAAGAATTTGTTATTCTCTTCTCCTTGTGTTGTTTTCTTCAGTGACATACTGATTTGGTTACTTTTTTGTACATATTCCATGAAGTAAAATTATGATTATGATTTCACATGATATGTGTCATCATTCTTGAGAAACATCTGTAGGCTATGCAATGTACAAACTGGGTCAATTTTGAGATTCTCAGTGAGTCATACAATTGCTCTACTGACATCTACAAAGTAGATGTTGGCAACTTCTGCCAATTTATTACCTAGAAGGTTTCTGAAAATTTGAAGAATCTTTGTCAATCTTTTATGATTAAATTATTACCCATGATTAATACATATAAATTGGATTTAAGTGTCAAGTTAATGTTCCATTTGCAATCCTTACTGTGTTTCATTGGGGACAATAGTTTCATCTAGATTACTTATGCTTAGCAGCATTTTTGGATCACCTTTACTTTGTTCATCTATATGATTGCATGTATACACCTTGTTGGGCAGGGGGTTTTCGAGTTACTGGAAAAATTTCCTCTCAGTGCTCCTTGTTGGATCCGATTTCTGGAGATCTTACTGTGGAAGTATCTCCTGTTCCTATACATTCTTTAGACATCCAATTACTACGTGTGGAGTCGATTCTTGTTGGAGAAAAGTTTGTGACTGATACCTCTGTGATTCAAACTACACAGGCAAGCACTTCTATGAAACATAGAAGATTTATGTCTTACATATTTCGCAAGATGACGAATTCCTGTTAATTAGATTGCAGATGGAGATATCGATCGCTGCATGACTTTGCCAATCTATATTATAATCCCCCGTCTTTTGGCCTGTCCTACAGTATTGGCGGGGTATGTTGCAATCTATTATCTGTATCTTTCATATTTATTGAGTTCCTTTTCTATTGATTCATTGATAAGCAACCCAAAAAAAAAATAAGGGTAAAAAAAGAAGATTATCTCATGTGCTATTTCTTTTTGTGGATAAAGCTCAGTCTAGTTTTTTTTTTCTCCCCATGTTGTACTGATGTGTTTGCTTCAATCATAATATACATGTCACGCTTCTTTTGGGTATTTGACATACAAGACTCTACTGGATGTACTAAGGACAAGAGAAGCATTCAAATCATTACTCATTCAAGTACCTTTGTGAAATTATTTGACCAAAAGGCTATTGTTTACCCACCTCTAGAGAAAGAAACATACGTGCACACCATGCGTAGAAAAATGAACTTTCCAACATCTCTCTCCCTATCAAGCAGGGTAGTCATTTAGGATTTTAGCTAATTTTTTTTTCTATTTCCTCCCTGACAATGGGCATAAAAACTACAGAACTTTCATTCCATATGCACATAGATGTGCATCTAATTCACCTCCGTCATTGACACCTACTCTTCCTATATGATGTTCCTTTTCCTATGCCCCTTGTCTGGAAAATTGTTTTGTGGATCATATATTCTGTGTTACATGGCCGAACTTTTGTTTTTGTGCATCTGTGAGTTCTTGAAGCCTTTTATAGCTTGGAGCTTGGGTTAAATTTGGCAGCGGTTATGTCTTGTGGAACTCTATATGCAGGCCATTTTCCGTAGAGTTTCAGGTCTCAATCGTTATAAGCTTTCAGTCGGAGTTAGCAAAGCAACACCCAAGAGCTGATCTGAGGGCTCCCAAGCCATGGGTAAGCAATAAATATTGTGCGTTGATCACTATCTTTTATTTGTTTATTGTGCATTGATCACTATCTTTTATTTGCTTATTTATTTATTTACTTGCCCATTGAAATCCTTCTGTTTGTTCAGCTGGCATCAGAGACCATTCCCTTGAAGCTAATTCGAACAAAGCGTGGAGAGTTGTGCAGTTAGAACATGCTTCTTACGTTGTTGTACCTATTCTAAGATGAAGAATGTGTGGTACTTTGTGGAGGAAGCAATGCTACAACTTTTTCATTTCTTGGTAAAGAGGAATTTTTGTCTGATTGTAGCTTCTCGATCTTGCTGTGTTTGTTGTTTCTATTATCTACACAATGTAGAACTGATAGTAGCGGACTACTTATAAAGGGTGTACGGGGGTTAGTACCAATGTTATTAAATTCGGTTTTATACCGAAATCTCGTGTATTTTGGGAAATGAGACATAATGTTGACACATGTCAACTAAAAGAGGTAAAAGCTTTGGTCATGATATGACAGGGATTGGACTTTGTACACCTATGGAATGTTGCACGGATTGGTCCGCTCTTTGTACAAACCATAAATGAGGTTTGGAAGGGAATGAGTTGGGACTCCGATGATATATTGAATGACAATTTGAATATTTCAGTTAGGTTTTCTTGAAAGGCCAACCGACTTTAAGTCACCGTTATTTTCAAGATCATTTGATATTATATTGTGATATTTTTCATTTTGTAACAATTTTATTTCTTATTAAATTTATTATTTTTATTTTTAAAGTTTTTATAAAATTATAAAAATATATATTTTAACATAATAAATAAAACCCAAAGTCTTTCTCCAAATTAGTCGAAGTACCAAATTGCTTCATTTTTTAAATCAAACGGACTCCGAAGCAAATCTGACGACATTGGTTAGTACATCTCTCTATATTTTGGCTCTAAATATTGGTCCTCGTCGAGTATTTCTCATTGCGTAGCGTAGGCTGGTAAATAAGGCTCCACGAACTTTGCTTGAACCTTCTTAAAGAAGAAGGGATAGACGAATGTCATGAAGGTAGCATTCCCACTTGCGCTACAAAGCACACACCTTTGGCATCCTTGAAGGCCTTATCCTTCATTGCTCCAACAAAGAAAGGGTGTGATTCAAACTCAAATATCAAAATTCTCTTGCCAAAGAATATCCTTCTGGCCACAGATTCAGTTATTGAAGCAACCTCACAGTCCAAGGATCCGCCACAAAGAAGGATAATCCGTGTTGTTGGGGTAGGCGATGTTCGTCTTCCATGTATAGGGAAAGTAGGACCTGATCCACCCCCAGACGTAATGAATAGCGAAACCTACACAAGTCTTATGAATTCGTCTCGATGAATTGGAGCCAAGTTTTACCAATGGTTGTTGGGATCTGGATCAAGATCGAAAGCAAGAGTTTGTGAAATGTTAGGAGATTCATATGGTTGGGAACATCATCCCTACAATGCACTTGTTAGGAATTGAGATCCCTCAATGTTAGGGATCAAGGCCGACTTTTTTCGATCTTGATCTCAACTTTTTGGAGATCTTGATCCCAACTTTAAAATGTATAATAAATCTAGTATTATGTATACTCTTTAAAGTAGAGATCTCATTATTGATAAAAAGCAATTAATTATAGTGTTGCCAATTGGCTATAAACAAAAAAAGTCATCATTTTGGTTAGTCTTGATCTTTAAGATTGAGATTGAGATCCTTACTAACAGGAATCGAGATCTTTATCAGTGGAGTTCGACATCCCAAAATTTAAAAATCGCAATCCCTGAGATATTCGTTCCGGTAGTGACATAATTGAGATCCTAGAATGTTTTATGGTTTTACCTTGTCAAAGTAAGAGATCCGGTAATTATGAGTTGCCTTTACCGATGGTTTCGTCAAAATCAGACCTTTTCCCTTCAAGTCAAAGAAACACAACAAAAGGAAAAGGAAAAAATATACCTTTGCATTCATGAAGTATAAAAACCATAAAAAGGTTCTATTAAAAAAGATATTATAATAACAGATAAAAAATAAAAAGAAACGACTAATGACAATGGCATTGAAATACTTTTCACCGCCACTTCAACGGCCTAGCGCATTCATGCGCTAATGGATCATATTCACTTGGTGATCCATAAAAGTAGTTCCATGCTCCAAATTATTTAGCACACGAATGTCCCCTGTACAAGCTACCGCATGTGACAGTCAGGCATTCTGAGCACCCACCCCATGGTCAGCTTGAGCTGGTGCCTCAGATGTTTTAGTTGCTAGTTCCCCCTAGAGATTCTACTTTTGAGCTTGTCAATAAAATCAAAGTTATCACTAGTGATTTGCATGAGCCAATCTACCAGATCCTGCAAATCTGAGATGATAATCTCTAAGTTATTTGAATGGAAGTAGGCCCCATTTATCCATGGCCAGAGAAGTCTACTTAGGGACGGGCTCCTCCAAGGTAATCTCATTGATGCAGGATATCATCACTTTTCCCAGTCTCAATAGGATTCTCAAGAGTAAGGACGAGAAGCCGAGAGAGTCCTCCATTTCCTCCACATCCTTATCATGCATGGATCCATGAGACCGCCCAGAGTTAGACGAATCAACCATTGAATCAAATAGGGCAAAGAAACAGGAGAAAAAGGCCAAAGAGTTGCAAAGAGATTTAAAGCTGCAAGCTTAGGAAGTACATGAGGACATCTATTTATAGAATTCTGGCAACCTAAAAACTACTCAAGATTATAGTCAGAGAATATGCTCATTACATGAAACAATTGCTAAAACTAATTTCATTGTCTCATAAATTAAGGGGCGTTCCATACGTGAAACCCTACAAAATTCAAGTATATAAAAAAAATGAAGAATGGAGAAATTCTAAAAAGCCAAAAATGAAAAAAAGAAAAAAAAGAAGAATAAGAAGAAGAAGAAAGGCCCTCGAAATCCTCCTAAAGGTCGACTCAGGCAGGAAGAGATACCTCGAAATTCTTGTAGTCATCCCGGTAAGCCTTCTGCTTCTGTTCTTGAAGACGAAGGAAAAGAGAGAGAGAGGTCTAAAAGAGAAATGCAATGCTGTGTTAAAGGAAACTAATCAACTTCTTGCATGTGTGTGTGAAATTCCTATCTCTCGATCATAATTTTAGTTCGAGAAGCAAGTGGAGACAACCCCAACAATGACCATTTACTTCTTGCTTCTGTTCTTGAAGCATGTAAAAAAAGCTTGATGGCTTTTGGCGTTGCTTCGGATGATCCCTCACATCAACATGTAATGCATGAAACAATGACTGCAAAGGAAAAGGATGTGTATAAACACATCCACAAAAGAAACCCAAGAAACCCAAGAAGGCAAGAAGAATCATATGAACTTTTGCCAAGGAAGGGCCACCCTTCAGAACTTGAAAGGAAGTGTTACAGCTACTTCCCTTCCTAAGTTTGGTAAAAGGAAGGTATGTCCCCAGATCCCCATTCAACCCTCATGGTACCCAAAGAAAATCGGAATCTAAAAGTTTCCTATTTGTCTTCAAAATTATATCAAGACATTCAAAACCCTCAATTTTGTCCATGAAAACATACTCACAGTCTTACCAAAGAAATTTTCTTAGAAACCACAACTCTTAGAAAATGCTTTTTACCTAAAATTATCCAACCCTTAGGCACTATTTTAAGAAGAGAGCTTACTTCCATTGTTTGCCTGCTTCTCTTTGTTGGGTGTTTGTGGCCATTAAATGCTTTATGACAGCATGTAATCAATATGCTGATATAGTGGAACAAAAACTCAGTGGGAGTATGGTCTAAATTGGGCCGAGATACACATAAGTTATTTATCGATGCTCAGACTATGTTTAATGCGCTAAGTCGGTCGAGTTGGAAAACCCTTAATTACTTAGGCATAAAGTATAACCGAGGAGAGTTAACAGGGTTATCTCTTGATGATGTCGGAGTTACCCAAGATAGAGAGCCAAGGGACTGTGTGACCCTTGTATCATGACAGACCTGTAGAATGAGGTCTAAAGCTTCATCTGTGAACCATCACATGATATATACATATGATAGCTGTATTGGGAAAGAGAGTCACCATTGAGTGTGATACGTGTACATGTGCGACAGATGACTCCTATGCACCATAGAGTTGTGGTTGCACTAGGTCTGTATAACCTAAGACATGACTCTAGGGGAGAATCAGTAATCCATAGACTGGGCCACCAAAGTTAGCTAATAAGTGAGGGGATATAATCTTCATAAGGATGGCTAACTCCAAAAAACTCTAACCCTTAAAAAAGTCAAATCTTTGAAGCATGGGAAACCATAGGCTACAACCCTTAATCAAGTATGAGAGCAAGATAGAAGAATCACAAGTTTAAGGCCCCAATGCCTTATGAGCATGCCTCCTTCTTTGGATCTAGGTTGGGGCGTGCCCGTTCTTCTCTATTCTAATATTTTAAAGGAGAGAGAGATATGAGAGGTGTAGAGATTTGGGCCGCCCTTATTTATAGACTTTTTCTAGGATTAGAGTATAATCTCCATAAGGATGGCTAACTTTAAGAAACTCTAACCCTAGAAAAAGTCTATAAATAAGGGCC